TGTGCCACTCTACCATGGTGTCATGCATATTGCTGTACTGCAATTGAATTTTTATTACCAGGGCATATGTCAAAACAAGAAAAGAAGAAAGAGAAAGAAAAGTTCAGAGATGATTTTTTTTTTAACTTGAGGCAAAGAATGAAATTTTTCTGAATGAGAACTGCCCTCAACTGCTAGTTTTGAACACTGTATGGCTTTGAAAATTAGCTTTTGCTCTGACTTGATAATGTTTCTTAACAAATTTAACTTAACATTCTGAGGCAAAAGAATGCTTATGTGCAAAACTTATTCTGTGGCAGGGGGCAGCTAGGTGGTGCAGTGGATAGAGCACCAACCCCGGGAGTCAGGAGGAAGGACCTGAGTTCAAATTTGGCCTCAGACACTTGGCACTTACTAGCTCTGTGACCCTGGGCAAGTCACTTAACCCCATTGCCTAGCCCCCTCCCCCCCAAAAAAACCTTATTCTGTGGTGAAGTCAATTCTGTGACTATTAATGTTGTTCAGACCACAAGTAATGCCAAGTTGCCTTATACATACCCCATGCTGTTAACAGTTAAAACCAGAAACAAGATCTTCATTCCTGCACAAATTTGTACTGGATATATTTTCTGAGCTCAAACTATACAGTGTTTTTTGGACCCTGATACTAGTGCAAAGACATGTCCATATTTCAAAACTGATTTAACTATGTAATCAGGGAGCTTCTATCTCACCTTCAATTGGTAGTGATTAATTTGCAATGGAATGACGTGCTAAAAGGCAAATATCAAGAGAAGAATCTAATATAACTCTACAAATGTTTTCTAGGCAATAAATATGCTCAATTAAAATTATATACTGATATCGTATCTGGCAGTACCTATCTGTGAAAAGACATTTTCAAAGATGAAATATGTAAAATTCTCATTACAGATCGGCATTAACAGATGAACATCTGCAATCTATTTTGATGATAGGGAACACTAACTAATTAAGTGAAATGTTATTCCCCCCCCCCGCCAAAGAAGTCTATTTTCCCATTAGTAGACTTGCATTATAAAATTGTCCTCAATTAACATTATTATATTTTAAATTTTGTCAATAAAATCCCTATCCCTAGATATGTCATATTGCTTCCACAACAGTTTTCAAATGTGAAAACTGAAATACATAGGAAACCAACTATATTGAAATGAAGATGTGTTTTTTTTTTCCCATTCAAGTTCATGGACTTCTTGAAATCTATCCATAAACCCTTTGGAGGCCCATGGACCCATGGACCCCAAGCTAAGAACCCCTGCTTTAATGATTTTTAATTCTACCTCCGTAAGTGTCAGATCTTCCTTAATTTTATAATTTCTCTTGTTAACAACATTGATGAGGAATGCATGACCCTCACCTTTTTTTCCCAAATGAATTTGGGTATCTATTTCTTGAGGGGGGGGAGATGATGAGATTAGCTGAAGTCTTTCTGGCAATGATGAGGAAAGCAGAGGCCTCTATGCCCTAGATAAATAGACTGGTCAATGAGACAATGAGGTTCAAATAAGGTAGGCAATGAAATATTGTAACTAAGGGGACCCTCTGCCCTGGGCAAATGAGCTGAACACTGGAATAATGATGTGCCTAGATATGTGTAAAACTCTAACACCCCTTGCCTGCATATCCCTGATTACCTCATCCCCCTGCCGACAGGGCACATTTCCTCTATAAGAATCCCAAGCTTCTCCAAGCTAGTGGCCATCTCCCTTAAGGAGTTGCCTCCCTTAAGCTGCTGCCTCCCTTAAGGAGCTGCTTCCCTTGTGGGGCTGCTACCTCCCTTAAGGAGGAGCCTGCTGGGTATGTTACCTAGAATAAAATGCCTTTACTTGATTTGGAGAGAGCCTAAGAGAATTCTTTTGAGACAACACCATAACACACACACACACACACACACACACACACACACACACACACACACA